CTCTTGTTACCCAGGCTGGAGTGCAATGGCGCGATCTCGGCTCACCGCAACCTCCGCCTCCTGGGTTCAGGCAATTCCCCTGCCTCAGCCTCCTGGATTACCTAGTTTTAAAGGTTACCAGCTGCATAATTAACCTTGAGAAATGGTTCTGGCAAAAGAAGTTAGGGCCTTGCAGTCTCTTGGTCCACCCAGCAAGCTGTGTAGGAACAAAAGAGTCCCAAGAAAGAGTGTTTCTCCAAATAATATCATGACAAGGATTTGCTTCCAAAAATCCATTGAAAGGGTAGGGTGTAGGTAGATCACTGGGAGTATGGGTGAAATAAGTTCATCATGAGTTGATATTGAAGCTGGGTTTTGACTACATGAGGCTCACTATACTATTCACTCTATTTTTTGTATATGTTTGAGGTTTTCCATAATAAATGTTTTAAAAAATCTGTTTACTAAACAGCCAACACATATAAGAGTTATAGAATAAGTGTAGATACCAATGTTTAATAAACAGTATAGGGCCAGGCGTGGTGGCTCACGCCTGTAATCTCAGCACTTTGGGAGACCGAGATGGGTGGATCACCTGAGGTCATGAGTTGGAGACCTAGCTAACATGGTAAAACCCCATCTCTACTAAAAATACAAAAATTAGCTGGGCATGGTGGCACACCCCTGTAATCCCAGCTACTTGGGAGGCTGAGGCAGGAGAATCACTTGAACCTGGGAGGCAGAGATTGCAGTAAGCCAAGATCACACTACTGCACTCCAGCCTGGGCAACAGAGCAAGACTCTGCCTCAAAAACAAACAAACAAACAAAAAAAACAAAAAATAAGTACAATTTAAAATACATGGAATTTTAAAAATTTCATTATATTGTTTCCATTAGTTATTTCTATTAGTTATTTAAATTACATGGAATACTTTATTCTGCCCGCAAATGCAGTTTCTCATTATGGTAAATATGTACAGTGTTATTTTATTACGGATATATGAAAGATCTGTTTTATAGAGAGTTGCAGTCAATTCGTTGTACTTATCCAGCCTATCCACTGGGAAGGGAATTCTCTACAAAAATCAACACAAGGTCCAAGGTGTCTGATAATAGCCACAGACATCATTGTGCAACTGTGAGAAACTAATCTCCCTAGTAAAATAAATAGTTTACTTGAACATCATTGAATGCCATTTTGAAAAAATATAAATGCTTTTAGATTTTTTAAACTACATATACATTTTAAACTACATTTCTA